TAAAATGTTGAGTACACGACTCAAGAAGCCAGGAGGAGTGGTGTTTTGGGTTGTGAATGGGTAAAATGAAAATCCCATTCTTTAAAGTTTTGCCAGGGTTGAGAAACACTGTTGTAGATGGCTCATCGCAAGACATTTCCTCAAAACAAAACAAAAATCCCCAGCCAGCATATATATTTTTTTCCCCATGATAAATAATGTTCGTTGATGAAGAACAACATATCTGGCAAGAGACTTCCTAAGGCATTTGCTTCACTGCTGGTACCTGTTGCATAGTCTTCCATGTGAGCCTCACTTAATGCCGTTTTATATTTACAGGCCATGTGAGATGTTTTAAAAAAAATGGGGTAGCAAAATGTGCTTTTCTGCAGGGAGGAAAAAAGGTTTTGCGTTCTGCTCAGCCGTGACTCTGGGCAAAGACTCTTGGCTGAATGGTTGCAGCTGGCACCTTCAGATCACATCCGTTGGCAAAAGGAAATTCCACAGAAGGCAAAAGTTATTCGTCTCCCCCTCCCCACAGCACGCTTTTCTACGAACTTTCTGAAGTTAAGGCGACTAAGGGATGCGGACAGTCCAGAGAAGGGTTGAAAGCAAAAAGAAAAACAAAGAACCTTTGCCATCCTTGGTTACTTATGAACCACACATTGAAAATGGCTTTTAAAATAGTAATAAAGCGATACGATTTTCGCTGCAGTTGTAACAGGTGTTTGGTAAACACCCCGTCGCACCACCTTCTCTTCATGCTCGCTTCCTGGAATTGCGGCTTTGTAAAACCTGAAACGTTGGTGATAAGTTTTGTTTCTGATTTAGGAAGTGGTTTTTGTAGCCGATCTCTCCTTGCTCCTGTTAGCTAGAATGAGAAATGGTTCAGTAACCGTCACTATTCAGTGGCGAGTGAAAAGGAGGGACTGAAGAATCTTAAGGAATCTAATAAATCTGTTTAGCTTTGCAGCCGTTAAGATTCCTGAATTTTCACCCAATACCATCCCATTCTATTTTAGTGTAGTTGTTTTTTTCAATTCAGTGATAAAGAGTATAATATCCCACCCCCGGGCACTAAAGTTACTTGTTACAAAATAAAAAGTCTATATTATGTTGTTAGAAGACATTAAATGAGATGTTCATGAGTATAGGGAGGGTGTTATAGCAAATTAGAATGGGCTGTACATGCACATCAGTGGAAAATCATAGTGGCAGGTCCATGTCACATTTCTATAGATTTAAACTTACAATAAATTTAACAAGAATTATTATTTCATATTTAATGTATTGGTGCATCTCTTTAGGAGAACTGGTGGGTTCACCTAATAGTTGGAGATATGAGGCAACGTCAGTTCATGGTATTCTGCTATAATATCTCCCTTTGGGTAGACGTTGCATCAAACATCAGTTTGGTTCTGAAAAAGTCTTAAAGTTGCCAAGGTTGAGGAACCCTGGTTTAGACGCTAATATTCTTTTGCAGTTTGGAAATAGGTATTGTGCCCTTTTAGGATTACAAAACAAACAATACTATACAACTGGAAAGACACCCATTCTTTGTCAATTTGTCAACAGTCCGAAGAAGGCATTTCTTTCTGTCTTTCAACAAGCATTTGGAAGACGATTTAGAAATGTGGATTGTGTATATTTAGAAATGTGGATCATATGCTTTATTCACCCTTTTTTCTCCTCTTAAGCAAAACTACATCAATCTTAATTGTGTGTCTGGATACATTGGTATAAATGAACTTCACATGATACATTCTTCCCTGAGAGGACGGTTTGCTTTAGGTAGACTGCCCAGACTTCCTTTTGGTAGATTGGCAGTTATATAAATTAGATAGACAGACAGACAGACATTAAAATATATACTTCCTATCCTGCCAGTCTGCCCTGAGGGCACTGCCTCTTTCTAGATGCCCACATAGGCTTCCTCGGGGGAGCAAGGGATGACATGCAACATGATGTCATCACACAAATGACATAATTGTATCAAGAGTACATGCTTCCTGTCAATTGCACAATGACATCAGGCTGTATGTCTTGTCTTTTGGTGTCACCATGGCTTGTAGGAGATGCCTGTGAATGCACGAGGATGCTTAGTGCCCCCAGTTGGCAGCTGCTTCTGTTTCTCTGGAATGAGCATCATGACCACAAATAATAATTTCACAGTCCAGTATTCATCTTTGAGCCTTCTGTTATCTTGAATGAACCACTACATACCCTCCTACCATTAAGTAATAAAACACTGCTGGAAATATAATACATATTCACACATTGTTTTGCTATTAAAAGAGGCTTCCTCTCTCTTGCATGTGCTTGTAAAAAGCTTTGAGTTGGTGTCCTTATCTGAACTGGTTATCTGCTGGTGTGCTACCTGTCAGCCTAAGGGCTTCCCTGCTGACATGATCCAGGGTTCTTTTGACAACCACTTTGTACCAGATCTACCCTCTTTGAGTTCAGTAAGCAAAGTTAGAAAATTTCAAGCTGCTAGTTCTGAGTTTCATGTTCCCTTTGGTTCTTGTGTGGCTCAAAATAGCACAGCACACATCTATTTTCACCTCGACTATCTCGTCTTTAAGAGAGTTAAATCATTGTCATTTCATTGCTACAAAGTGGCAGCCCAGAGAACAAGGCTGGAACACAGAATTAAGTTTTACTCCAACCATCTATTAACAGCTGTGTTTAAATAGAACCCCTGAACCTAAGTTGTTGGCTTAATGAATATGGACCTCCCACCAGGCCAGATGTTCTTTGAAGCCCAGTTAGATGTCCCCTTTAGCTTGATGTAATAGCACTGCTCTTGCGTAGCATTCCTCTAGGCAGACACCATGAAATAGGTCATGGAAAAGCTCGAGAGTTGCCTTTCTCAGAAACATTGTTTATAAGTTTATGATGGTTTGGAAAAGTGACTATGAGATGTCCACTCAACAGATATTTAGAGCTTGAATCAAGACTCAAATTCTAGTCACTGGTTAACTGTGGTAAGGAGCATTAACCACTGTCACGCACATTAATTCCCATCTTGAGTCTCTCAATGCAGGGAGCCTGCCAGCAATGCTAGAATAGGATACATGTGACTTTTTGGACTTCCAAGATTCCATCTTTCATGTGGAGCGCACTGTTGCAAGGACACGCTTTTAGTGGCCTGAACATAGAGTGCAACACTGTTTTAAATTGTTCCTCAGTTATGCAATCTGTAAACAGTGAGGCTTGCCATGGAGTTATTAGACAAAAAGAGCTAAGGGAATGTAAGCAACTACTTAAGCTCTGGGTGGTCAGTAAAATTAAAACAATTGAAAATAAGAGTTGATAGAAGAGCCTTTTCTAGCCATTCATCCTTGGGCCAAAATGGGGGGGGGGGGTTGGCAGGAACAGTTCCTGCATGAGTCTTCACTTCCTGACTAAAGCAGCTTTTGATGGACAGGATTAGATCAGGGTATCTTATATCTTTGGATTTTCATAGTAGCTGCAAAGCAAAATTTCTGGCAGATTGCATTACGCATTATTTGTTTGCCTAAATAAGCCATGGCTGCTCAACCCTTACTGATATTTCATTGTTATCTATAGTCATAGGGGAGCCATTAATTAAGATGCATGTGTGCAAAATACTGGAATCCCAAGAAATATCGACTGCAATGAACCAACACCCATTGCCCAAGGTTAAATGTTTCTTAATATCCTTACTGCCATTAAGAGCATTTTGAACCCAACATCTACATAAAGCAACATAGTCTCTTAGAAATTGCATGCTTCTTGAAAAGCTAGTCCCCTTTTTAATATTCAGAATGAACGTTTTGTAATTAAAATCTCTCATTTTTGTATTCAAGCTTGATACCTACGGTTTATATAATAGAAGATATCCTTTTTCATATGCAAAAGCACTTTTAGAAACTCAGGTTGCCTTCTTTGAAATGCTCTATATTGCCAGCTAGTGGAAATTACTAAGAATTTTGGTTCAGCTGAGTGGATTTATGACTCCCTCCAAATAATCATGATGCTGACTTATCTTGACGGCAAACTTTCAGGCTTACCTTGTTAGTGAATATATTTTTCTTTTGTTTTCCTCCTTTAATACAGGCTCTTGATGGGAATGTATATGATCACCTTAAGGATTATTTAATGGTATTCAGCAGGACTGAATTAGAAATATGCCAATCTGTACAAAGCACATTCCAGTTTCTTTTGGAGACTTCAAGCCGGGTAAGTTCTTCAGTAAAGGAACCTTCTGTTCTTGAAGGCAGTTCAGAAATAGGAAAAACATGATGTGAAGATTCAGGCAATGCCACTTGTTCAGTCTTTTGGCGTAAACACCTTGATGTGGTGCAGCTGGGGAGCAAGCTGTAGTTTGTTCGTTAAAGAGCACGTATTGTACAGGGAGAAGATTCAATGTTCATTCTTTGCCGATAATTAAAGGATCCTGGGTAGAAGGGCACTGTTCTTCAAATATGGAGAAATTTTGCCTATCAGCAAAAGTAATAACCATCTAGGTCAGTGTTCTCAACCTTGGCAACTTGAAGTTGTGTGGACTTCAACTTCCAAAATTCCCCAGCCAGCCATGGGAGTTGAAGTCCACACATCTTCCAGCTGCCAAGGTTGAGAAACACTGGTCTAAATAGATCAGTAGTCTAATACAAAAGGCAAACTCTTCTTTGAGTATTGTTTTTTGCTGTTATCCTTATGATATGCTAATTCCTTGTATTTTAATGTTTGAAATGCCAATAAAGGTCTGAATTGAATAATGCAAAAGGCTTGCTGTGTATCCAAAGGTAGACTGGCACAGGTGCCCATTCCTAGCCACAGTGATGTCCAAAGTGTATAAGAAGCAAAGTTAGTGTTGGGACACACATTTTGTTACTCTGCATCCCTATGCCCTGTGGACCCCTGTAGTAACTAGTGGATTAATTAATTAAGAGTGTACTAGGAATCCATTATTGGTCATAGAATAATAGAATCAGCCACCTTACAGACACAAGCATTGGGTGGAATCTGCAAGAGGTTGCTCCAGCTTGAAAACCTGCAGAAGAAATCCCATTTGTCTATAAAAGTTGGGCCCCAAACGAATCTGTGTTTCTGAAAATTGCATGAAAAGGCTAACTGCAAGGACATTTATGTAACAAAGAATATTTGTTATACTAATTAGAGCAAAGGAAAAGTTTTCTAAGGAAAAACGAGTTTTACAGCTACATAAATCAGGGAAATTGTGTAAAAAAAAGGCTCCATAGTTTAGAAAGGCTTGTGAACATTTACAGTTGCAATAGAAACACATGAATGCTATCCCCTAATGCAGACTGTAAAACCGGCTCCATTTTATATTCTTGGACTTGAACTTACTCCTATAGCAACAACACTCTTCCTAAAATCAATTGTCTATTTTATCGTAAATCAGTCAAATTGCTGTGCCACTGGAGACTAAAAATTCCACAAGTGTCAGTAAATGCATGAACAGAAAGACAAATAATTTGCTCCCCCTCTCCCACTACCCAAAATCTGCTGACCGAGGCACCTGTCCCATCTGCCCATCCTGCCTCCAAAGCACTGTTTGTTGTGGGAAAGTCTGCATCTCTCGATTAAGATGGTTCAGTTTTATAGCCCAATTTTGCTATTCGTTCTCTGACTGTTTGAAAGTAGCAGGGATGCAGCGGGGAGCGAGAGATAGAGAAAGTTGCATTTTGCATTGTCATTACTTCTATTGTATTTGCCTAGGAAACAACAAACAAGTAATTTTATATCATAGAATTTTAGAGGTGGAAGGGATCCCAAAGATCATCCAGTCCAACTTTCTGCAGTGTGCAGGAAAACCAGTGAAACCATGTATGTGGCAGGTGACTGTCCCGCCTCTCCTCAAAAACCTCTGCAGATGGAGAACCCATCACCTCTGCAGGGAGACTATTCCATTGTTGTACAGATCTTACTGCCAGGAATTTTTTCCTTATATTCAAACAAAACCTAAGTAACTGCAACTTCTATAACTGTTATTTTTGGACCTAGTTTCTGTGGCCATAGAAGACTGTTCTTCACAGTCTTTCTGGTAGCTTCCCTTTATGTACCTGAACATAGCCAGCATGTCACCAATCGATGCCTAGTTGCCCACCAGGTAAAGCATGGAATTGCCCAGTGTTGGGGATAATGATTAAATCTCCCAAATGTTCATTTAGTAGGATATTGACATGACTGTCCCACTTGCTATACTCCTGTTCGGCAGAGTCAAGAACAAAAATCTCTCTCTCCAGTCACTTGCATGTAGAATGGAAATCATATAGGCTATGCAAGCTATAATGATCATTTTAATGTTATTATCCTATTAAGATACAATTTTGTAAACTCAAATAAATTTGGAAAAGGAAGCTCTTGTAGAAGAAGAGTGGGTGGATTAACTACTACCATTGTCCCAAAATGTTAAGCAATCCGTTTTCTTCATATTAAGATGGTTTATTATTGGGGTTGACAGTTTAGATGGTTAATCCACCTTTCTGCCTTTAAGATGTTTGGATAACCAAGTTCATTGTGGTAAAATCTGGATTAATTTGTGTGACAAGCTCTTTTCCTGTTATTTCATTTTAACCTGAGGCTGAATGTTCTTTTCATTACAATTGTGACAGTTATAAACAGTTCCATAGAAGAGTCCATAATCTGTTTTTAGAGAGATTAAAAAACTGATACAAGCATTCAAAAATATGCACACATACTAAAATGTGCCATAATTGTTTCCTGTAATTGAGGTATTGGCTGGATAGGATTTTGGAATCAAAAATAGATTGGAATGTTTTCTAGATAGCATTTTTATTTAAGAACAATAGATTTGCCCATTGCTATATGCAGCACAGTTGTAGAAATGTGTTGTCTTAATAATTTTAGCACTATTTATCATTTAATATTTGTGACAGAACTGTAAACATGGCTGTTTTCTCTTTCAGGTAGTGCGAGATTACAATTTTCAGCTATTCTTGCAAGAAAACTCTGTGTTTCATAAGCCACAGTTGTTCCAGTTCCAGCCCTGCGACAGTGACACCGTAAGAACGTTTTTAAATAATACATCTTAGCTTCCTTTTATGCGTGCGTGCTTTCAGAGGGCCGCAGTCGAAAGAATCCATTCTGCAAGCAGAACAAGAGAGGACTGTAAAATCAAAACTTCTATAATGGGCTTTCCCAACCTGGTGGTTTGCAGATGCTTTGAATTTCAGTTCCTCTAATCACCAGCCAGCAGATGATTATGGGAACAGAGATCCAGAAATCTGAAGGTCACCCAGGCTGGGAAGGTTGTTTTACAGGAAGGATTGTGCTCCTCGGCAGTGTGAATCTCTGTAGCGTACCTGGAACTCTGGGCTACAGTGTGTCCCAGAGTCAGAAATGCTTGAACCCACTTAAATGCAGTAGGCCTTAAGCCACCGTGCTTTGCTTTGAACTATAGTCCAAACTGTGGAATTCTTTGAGGCCATCATATTGGAAGACTAGACCTCTATCAGCCAATCCTACTCCCACCCCCATCGCCCAGTGCATTTTCATTACCTGGTGTTTACCTGTTGGATTTTCTAGACGCAGAGAGCCCTAGCTGACTAGAGTCAGTAGCAGTAACTCCCACTGGTGTACCACAGACAGACAGAAGTTATGAATACCAAGGAAAGTTCTAAAATTTTACATGTAACTCTTCTCTGGAGTGAATACCTCACAGAAGATGCAACAGGCTCTGAGCCTTTTTGCATGAAGAAGAACACATATTGGAGACCCTGGGGTCTTCAATGGTCCCTGAAGACCCCCAGAGACCTCCAAAAGTTCCTGGCAAATTATTACCTACATAGGTAGGAGTAGCTGCCTGACTTGGATGTCATTTGAATTGGCGTGGAATGTAAGTAAAATAATTCAGTGCCTGTTTTCATCCTGGTTCATCCACTGCCTCTTCAGAGTGCGGTCCCCAGCATGTCACGCAAAGGCAGAGTAGAAAAAAATGTAACCCTAGTTGGTAGAAAATGTGCTTAGGGACAAATACAGTCAAAGGTAAAGCTTGTTGATGATCCTGGTCATCTGCACTTCTGCCCTCTATGGGGATAGAGACCTCCCTTCTTGCCATCTGGGGCATCCGCGAGGAGGGTCAAATCTGCCCCGTTTGCAGATTTTGACTGACCCCAGCTTACCCTAAACCTATCTGGTCACTGAGAGCAGTGGGGCAGTCTGAGCCCACCTGCTCAGAAGCCCATCTCTCGTGGTCCCTCTGTGGTAGAGTGCCCCTTTCTGTTTCCCCAAGTGATGGGGTGCACTCCCTCAAGCTTGGCCTTTAGCCCCCAGTCTGCTTGCAGAAAGCCAATCAAAGTTAAGAGCCCCCTCTTTAACCAGGCCTTTTGAACTGAAGTAGTGATAATTTTAGCTCTTTTTCTCAGATTTTATTTTAGATGGTTAGCCATCTTGTGTACCCTGTGGGAAAAGAAATACATTGATTTATGCTTAATTCAGTTTTCTAACCGATAATATAATTTAGCATCAAAGCAGCCATTCCTCTGATTAGTTAAAGGAACTTGGTTGTGTGCTGTGTTTGCAATTAGTTCCCAGCTTATTGCTTGTTCTGCATTCTGGATCCTCACTAGAGCTTTGGAACTCATTCACGATGAGCGTAATTCATAAATCAAAAGAGGCTGACTAAAAACTTACTAACCATAAAAAAGTGATTATTGGTGCTTTGTTTTCAAGGATTAAACTCAAATTTATATTTAAAGATTTACCTCTCCAAATATTTGCGAGGGTTCATGGATGTTGTGCTCGATCAGTTTCACTAGGTGGCTAAAAATCGTGATTTTCTGGGTTTTGTTTTACTACTAAGAGATAGAAAGCACCAATTTAAAGCAAGAGTAAGTTTTAAAGGACACTTTTTGTAGCTTTTGGAAAGCTGTACTTAGCCCGAAGAGAAAGGGGGTAAGCGGGTGGGACTTAGCTGGCCGACTTCAATGCCGCATTTGAGGAAAGTCAGATAAAACATGGGTGGCCTCGTTACGAACCACAGACTTGCCCTTGAAATTCAAATGTTATATTTTTGACTTCTTCCTCCCTCCCCAAAAATAAGGCCCTGTGATCTATCTGACTTCGCCTGCAAATTGTTTACGCCAAGTCCAAGGATATGTGAAAGGAAGTGGGTTGCGTTTTCTTTGACTAACCGTATTTACCTGTGTTTGCCTTGCAGTTCTAACTGTGTTGTGTGTGTTTGTGTGTGTGTGTGTGCGTGTTGTCCTTGTGCAACTCTTGACATTCAGAGTTTTAGTGCCGTTCAGCTGGTGGATATTGAGCCCTCCCTTGTCAGTGCTCTGAGAATGACCTTAGTGGAGGTATATGGCAACATTTGCTCTCACCATTAATGTACCGTGGTTTTGTTCACATGCATGTTGCACCAAATGTTATGATGCAATTTGCGCTCGTGCCTGAGTGGCCCACAAATGCATAACACGTTAAAAACTCTAAATTAGCTTTCCCAAAGCTATCTTGCGTTAATTCTCTGATTCTTCCTTACCTTTCTGTTCATACGACACCTCATTTTCAATCGTGTGGAATTCAAAAAGCGTTGGAAGACTGTTGATATTTCTGATACTTAATTAGCCTTCATCTTAACTGATGAGCCTCTTAGCAGACTCATAAACACATCACCATACTCCTGTTTCTTCTTTAAAAAAGATTGTTCGGTTCTGTCACCTTTCTGACTTATCTTTAAAATATCCCAGGCATCAAAAATAAAACCAACCCGAAATCAAAAGTATTCAAGTAATATTAAGATAAAGAGAATATTAAGATAAAGAGAATCTTAACCAAAAAAAAAGGACATTTGGGGGGGGGATTACACTGTACAATGTTTTTACATCTGTGGGCACACACTCATGTGTATGCACAGGGTTTTTGGTCTGCTATTTAGAAAATGTAAGTGCCAGGTCACTTACAAATTTTGAAATTTTACTCTGTAAGTAAGCCACCCGGAGTCCCTGTGTGTGAGTTGGGCGGCCCTATAAATTTGCTAAATAAATAAGAAAGAGAGACATGAAGTACAGGGCCAAAGGAGCCCACAAAGTATTGGAAGAAAGCTGTCTTAAAAGTGTGATGAACCCAACACATTTTCTAGAACGTGGAATTTCCCACTGGTCTGTTCTTCTAAACCTCTTCAGATGAAGAGCCTCTGCAAAAAGTCCTAGCATCTTCAGGATCCAGGCGAAATGCTGAGGTTGGGTGAGATCAGTTGTGTAGGACAGTGTTTTTCAGCCTCTGTTGGGGAATTCTGGGAGTTGAAGTCCACATGTCTTAGAGTTGCCAAGGTTGAAAAACGCGGGTGCAGGAGATACAGAGAAAGGAAGTGTGAGAGGTCCTTAAATCAGTACAAACATACTGTATCGGGATTTGGCATCATCCTCGCAACAAGAATTCACTTTTAAACACTTGAAGGACTTGATTTTCTTACTAAACTTCAGATTTACAAAACAATCATCACTTACTTTGACTTATCACAAGGAACTCGTATTGAGATCCTTATTTTTTTAATTCCGTGTAACTAATGTTTTCATCTTTGATATTTTATTTCATTCCATGAGCCCTTCTTCTAGAGAAATGTTGAGCACCAGGAAATTGTTATGCAGTCTTTTCCGAGCACATTAATAATGTTATTTCTAGGAAGCAGGAACGAAGAACTGTTATGCATTTGGCCACTTCATATTCATTTTGTGTTGGAGCTGTTCAGGAAGTTGCTTGCTCGCTTTCCATGGAATATGCATGATTATTTTCATTGGGCAAGCTGTGCATTAAACATTTGTTGTGGAAATCTATTATTGCATAATCTGCTGACATGAACTAAAATCAAAACTAATTTCTCTACAGGAAGAATTTCTTCTTTGCTGCAATTGAACAAATAATTAATGTAACATCAAATACTTCTTCACAGACATTTTAGTACACCTCACTAGGATGCAGACTTTCGGGTACAAAGGTCCACAGTTGTGATTTAACATTTACAGTTATTAATCTGTGAAATTGTCACTTTTCTGTGTTAAACGATTAAGCATGTTTCCAAGGGGAGAAGCTCCTTATTCTTAAGGAGACTTAAGAAAGCAAGACAATGGCTGAATAGTCACCTTTGCAACTTGATTGGCTCTGTGCCTGCATCTTCAGTAAAATATTTGTCCATTTGAAACGTGTATGTGCAACTTTGCATTTAGAACCTGAC